AAAAAAAAAGAATTGGCGTTGATCGTTTTGTTGATTGTTAAAAAACCAGAGTAACTTTTTAATTGCGATCCTATTTCAGGCAAAATAACTTCACTTAAATTTCGGCCCTCATTAATTTTTCCACTTTCAATAAAGGGAGTTAAAAACAGTTGTGTGCCAGGTTCATGGTGATCTGTTTCTTGCAAAGTCCAAACTGAACTAACTGATGCTAACAAAACTGAAAATGTAAAATATTTCGGTTTTGCTGCTTTAAACTTGATTTTATTGTAACGTTACAATATCAAGCCGTTTATATACACAAAAAAGTTAAGTTTAAAACTATTACATTACATAAGTTGAATCATTTTTAAGATACTTGTGAATTTGTGCTATTTTTTTGTTTATGTGGCTTAACTACAAACTTATTTTAAATTATAAATAACAAAATAATTTACTAGCACTTATAATTATTGCACTTAATTGATAAAGTTTTATTGTTAATAATGTGATTTTTATTTTTTAAACCATTTAAAATATAAAAGTTACAATCAGATAACAGTTTTTTGTATAATTAAAATGACATTATTTTTAAAAACTTTTACCACTGATGAAACGAGTAATCATGTCAAAAGTGGCTCTTGGTTGGTCATGAGGACTAGCGTGACCCGCTCCTCTAATAACAACAAAATACAAATTTTCTACTTGTTTGACATAACCAGCAACGGAATGATCTTCTTTTGCCACTTTCCACACTTTCCTTTCAGCAGCGTAAAATTGGTTTGACTTACTCCACTGTAAGCCACTTAGAAAATCTTCAGTTAAAGTTGCTGCAACAATTAAATCAAGATTGCCATTGAAAAATAGCATTTTGTACTTTGCATCTAGAAGTTCTTCTACCCAAAGTTTAGTACTTTTAAAAATATCCAGCAGTAAGTGGTCAAACACTTTCATTTGATCATGTAATGGCCGATTTCCTAGGTGAAGGGCTGCCCGAGTGCTGTTTTTTTGCAATGTAATGCATTAAATAGCCCGTGTTTTCAGGCATTTGATCTTGCGCGGTATTGTAGTACGATGATAAGCCGGTAACATTGTGAAAATAAGACGGAATGTAGGGCTGGCCAGTAATAGGAACACCCATGAAAAGCTCATTCATTACTATAGCTGCTTTGTAAAAATCTTTTTGATCTATTAACTTTTTAAACTTTTCCTGTTCAGAAATGAAATGGTCCCGTTGAGCGTGATCAATCAAACCTAGCTTCCACAAAAGATCGCCGTAGTTAGACTGACTTTTTGGATCACAGTAGCCATTTCCGATAGCCATCCCCTGAAGATTGAAACCATCTTTTTTCGCCTGTTCTCCCATAGAGTGAATTTTGTGCCCAATGGCAGGTATGTATTTTCCAGCGTAGCTAACTCCAGTAACGTAAAAAGGAGCTCCGCGATACTCTTTAAAAAGAATAAAAAATTGACGTAAAGCTTCATATAAATCTCGACCAATTTCATTTTGATTGGTTGCATAACCATTGTCTTTATCTGTAAATGAGTACCCAGTTCCAATTGGATTGTCAATGTATAGAAGAGCATATTCTTGATTCCAAGTAAAGTTCCGCAATTGCAATTTTATTTCATTATTTACCTTAACCAGCTCAAGTGGACCATTTTGAATAAAAAGACTTCCAACAAGAGGACTTCCCGGACCACCTGACAACCATAAAATTAATGGAACATTTTTAGTATGCCCATTCTGAAAATAAAAAAACAATTTTAAAAATATTTTAAAAATATATATTTAAGTTTACTTTTGCAGGAAAAAACCAAAAAAATGAATTGGCATTATTTGTTTTGTCAATAGTCAAGTATCCAGAATAACTTTTTAACTTTAAACCAAGTTCAGGCAAAATCACTTGACTAAGGTTTCGACCTTCATTAACTTTTCCATTTTCAATGTATGGAGTCAAGAAAAGTTCTGATTTGCTAGTAGACTCAATTTTAGACACTGCCCAAAATAAGCAACTACAAATTAAAAATATGTAAGTCACAAATATTTTCATTTTTAAGTTTTATTACTGTTTAATTAATAATTTTTAAAAAATTTTTAACGTTTTTATTTTAAAAACAATTAACATTTGTATTTAATTACTGTTTTGTAAATTTGTACAAAAACTATCGTTTTAATTTAATATACTGTTATCACCAAATAGCTACTTTATTAACTGTGTTTAGTGCAACAGTTTTAAATGATTATTTCCAAAAAACTGAAATTTTGTTCTTTAAGTTTATTTTGCGGCTGAAAACTTAAAACAAACTTTAATTTTTTTAGTTTTTTAATATTTTTATTTTATTAATTTAATTTTTAAAATCAAAAGAATTTGTACTATACATGTCAATTGTCAATTGATAAACAATTAATAATTTTGTTTATGACAAAATTTAATCAATTGTGACATTTGTCTTATTGTCAAAAAATCACAATTTAGTTCATTTTTAGCTTGATAACGTTAATATTGTTGACAGCAAAAGGGTACATTCAAGGACGTTTTTTAAACTAAAAATGTATAAAATGATAAGAGTTTTTTTGAATAATGTACAAAAATTGTTCAAAAAGTACATCAAAAATGGAAAAAGAAACTTTTTGTTCAAAGGTTGAAAAAGTTCCAGATCTCTTTGGTTCTTTAAAACCTGAAGATCTGATTCGAGGAGAAACACCGGATAATATTGAAGCCAAATGCTTGGAATTGTGTCAACTGTACATTGGAGGATCGTGGGCTTTGGTTCAGAGTGAGAAGGATTACATAGTGTCGCGAATCACCGGCGGTTTAACTAATCAACTGTATCGAGTAAAACTTGCAAACACCATACCTTTTCATGACACTCGATGCGCAGATGTTGCAGTCAAGCTTTTTCAGTCTAAACTAGTTGAAAATTTTAATAGCAACGAAAATGAACGTCTTAATGATTTCATAATTACGACCATTCTTTCCGCAATGAACATTGGTCCTAAGGTGTATGGAATATTTGCCGAAGGAATGATAATCAAGTTTTATGAGGTATGTTTAACACAAAATTTAAAAAATACAGTTTGTTTTATAAATTTATTTTGTTATTTTTAGAATGAAGAATTTGGCACTAAACACCAAAAAAATGATCTGTTGGTTAAAAAACTTGTCAAAAACCTAGCCGCTTTTCATCACTTGGATGTGCCGATTCGCAAAGATGGACTTAAATCGTGGCTTTCGCAAAATGAAACATGTCTTGAAATTGCTTATCGTGATATGAATGCTCAGTCGTTAATTGAAGAGCTACAGTTACCTCTACTGATGAAGCATGATCCTAGAGAGGAGTTTAAAAAACTGAAAACTTTGATCAAATCGTTGAACTCTCCCACGGTGTTTTGCCATAATGATTTTCGTGGTTGCAACTTTTTGGTAAACAAAGCTGATCAAAACATTGTGCTCATTGACGCTGAGTACTCAGCTTACGGATTACGTGGTCATGACATTGGTGGTTATATTGTCGAATGGGGTTGTGAGCCGTTTGAAATTGAAAAACATGATTTGCCATCGGACGATGTACTGAATTACTTTGTTCAACTCTACATTGACGCTTGTGAAAAACAAAATCCCGGTTACGCCGCTAAACCAGAAAACTCCTTAGCAGTAATTGTAAAAGAAGTTAAAGTGATGTCTTTAGGGAAGTACATGTTTTTTCTGGGAATTTTTCTTAAATCGACCAAAAGCTTTGTGTCGACTGTTGAATTTGACAAAATTGAAAACATGGTGAGTGTCATTGGCTTATTTAAAACTTAAATTTTAAATTATTTTTTCAGAAATACTGCGAATTTTTGTACAGTAAGTATTTTAAAATAAAAAACAGACTAATTAAAGAAAACATTATTTCTGAATAATGACAATGGCACTACAAACTAACGCTTCAAATAACTTATATTAAATTGCAATTTTTTCATTTTATTTTGAGCAATTGTTTTATTTAAAATAACAATGTACTTTTTATGCCTCATTTCAAATAAACTTAACAAAAGCAAAGATTACAAACAAGAGCTTTTATGGGCTACTAAAATACAAAACCAAATTAACACAAAATAATAAAAATGAGTATGAGAGTGAAAAATTATTGGTTTTATTGGAACAAAATTGTTCTATAAAACAAAAACAACAACTGGTTTTTTAAAAGATTTATTTTACAATTAACTTTGTCATTGCACTGGTTGTTTTTTAAATTTTTATGTAAAAACGCTACACGTACATGTATTGACTGTACATGTAGCGTTGACATGCAGTAGTCTGTCATCGTAGCAGCAGCTACAAAAGAAAAGCGTTGCTAAAGCGTGCTGTCAGCTCGGTGGTACTGCCGTCACTGCTGCCTAATGTTTGGCCGAGTGCTGCTGCTGCTGCCGTGTACCGCCTATGCCACTGTCGTAGTGCTCACTTCTGTGAAAGGATCATAGGCGAATTGAGTAGAGCACAACAGCCACTCGTTGCGTACTTTCTCTCTCTTGATGCCTTCTGATTGTTGCTTACCATTTTGGTAGCACTTTTAACAGCAGCAGTTCTACATAGCAACAACGACAACAACAACAACAACAATAAGTTCTTTGTAATAAATTTGTTTTAAGTTTATTTTTTGTGTTTAATAAAACTACAAATTGTTTTTCAGTGTCCCTCAAACGCAATACAATGGGCATCTTTGATGCATTCACAAAGGAGTTTTCTGCATCATGAGAAACGGATGGTGTAAAAAATTGGAAAAAATCGGTGTGAAAATTCTTCGCTTTTACTACGTTGGCTTCAAAAGCAGTCAGTTTGATGAATATCAGTTTCTTGAAGATTCAAAACTTTTATTTTTCAAAATTTGTTACTCACTTTACGGTGGAAAAATTGAAAATGGAAATGACACTGAAAAAGAAGAAAACGAAAACGAGGAGGACGACCTGTACAGCTACTACACACAAGAACAGCAAAAGAATGGGCAGGAGATTTTAGATCAAATTGTAGACGTTCATAAAAAAATGCAACACGTGGTAAAGTGCTAGTTGGCATCATCATGGTAGCTTGCAAACATGATGTTCAGGAACATGTGCTCCCCATGTTTAGCGTTTTTGTCGACGAAAACCTCGAAGATGCCTCTTCTATTCGCTTTTACGTTGACATTAACCGACGAATGTACAAAAGCTGGGACGACTGGAAAACGAACAACACCTTGCCAATGCTTAAGTATGGCTACCCAAATTTGGATTTTCAGCTGTTCAGGAAAATGTTCCTACAAGTTTGACGCATCACAAGATCCCGACGCTGAGTTCGCCAACTCTCCGCAGTGCCTGCTCTCCTCAAGAATACTCAACACAACTGATGTGGTCGGCATAGTCACCGGGCTAGGTGAGTCTGCTTGCCCTTTCCCATTATTACACTATTTTAACTTTGATATAATCACTTATATTAACCTTATCAACCTTATCTTCAGGATGTGGGGCCATCATCGTGGCCTCCACCTGAGGTGAAGAATAATTTTTAACACCACTCGGCCCGGGAGTGCTGATAGGCAGCGCCATCACCGGCGGCTCCTTTGGCGTGTACGGCACCGCCCGAGCAATGCAGCGGCTAATCGACAAGGGCCAACACCTCGAGTCTCTGTTCGATCTGAAGTCATTCACCCTTTACTTCAGCATACTGGCCACTGAAAACATCACTCAAAAAATGAGAGGACAAGGTAAGCGTTTAAAAAAATACTAAACATTATTAACATCAACGTTTTATTTTTTTAGTTGAAACAACTTTTGCTGATATTTACTCTCGGATGAAAGAACCAACACGTTTTAAAAACTTAAAAACAAATCTTTTAAAACGTACGCAAACAATGAACCCAAGTTATTGCTATAAAAAGGCAACTGAGCAAGTAGTTGAAGTACAGTCGTGGAATCCAACTGTTGAACATTTAGTTGTTTATTTGGACAACTTTGCAAATGACATGTTCAACGATGAGTTGTGGGCTAAAATAAACGCAATACCAGAAATAGAAAACGAAAATTGCGTTCAAGAAAAATTATCTGTTGTACTTTCAAAAATGGAGGGGAGTTTAAATTCATGTTTGATGGTGGCCAAAAATTGTCACAGTTCAAATGGCACAATGTTGACTGAAAATTACTCTACTGATTTAAAAACAACTTTAGTGAACATTATCAACAATGACCTTTTAAAGTTTTTTTCAATCTTAACTACTTGCTCAATTGAACATCAGTTAAATGTTCAAATAGTACTGCCAAATGGGAAACGCAAAAAAAACTTGTCAACATGTATTATTTTTCAAAGTTATTTGTTTAACTAGATGATTTAGTTTCTAAAATTGCAAAAAAAACTTTGTGGTTTTTTGTTATAATGTAAAATCAAACAAAAAATAAATAGAACAAAAAGCCAGCCTCGCTCGTTTAATTTGCATCACATATAACTTTGCACCAACAATTTGTTTTGGAAAATTAGCCAGTCATTTATTTTAACAACAAATGGGCCATGTTTATTTAAATTTTCAAATAATTTATAAAATTGTTTAATTTATAAATAATGTTATTTAAAATTTTAAGGAAACATCTTATAAAGTTGAGTTTGGTTTTAAGTATTTTACTGATTATTTGCCATATTTGCCCTTTCCCTTGCCCTTCTTCTTCTTCTTCTTTGACTTTTTTTTCTTCTTGCCATACTTTTTCTTTTTGCCGTGCTTTTTCTTAGATGAAGAGGACTTTTTATGTGATTTTTTCTCCTTCTTCTTTTTGTACTTTTTCTTTAAAAACTGCAAATTAAAAAAATTATAGTTAAGTTAAATTTAAAAATAACATTTGAAAAAATACCTTCTTTTTCTTTTTGTGAGACTTCTTCTTCTTCTTTTTACTACCTGTAAATGTCAAAAATGGTGTCAGTAGTTGCAAATGATTTTATTTAAACTTCATATATACCATGCTTCTTCTTCTTCTTCTTTTTACCTAAAAATTAGTTTAAATTTGTCATTTAAAGTTTTTAATTGAATGCTTACAAAATGTTGATTACTTACCATACTTCTTCTTCTTCTTCTTTTTCTTTTTTCCACCTCCGTATCCACTGAGCAGTAGTGGTTCATCTGCACTGAGAGCACGTGACACTGGAATCAGCGAATAAGAAGTGGGCATCAACGAAGTTTCCCCCACTCCAGCAATGGCCCTGGCCTCCACCTGTTGATCTTTTGCCGAGAGGTATATGGCCAAAATGATGGCCAATACTGGCAGTAAGATGACCGGCCGGAAAACCGGAAATCTTGATAAACTCTATAAATGAAACAAAAAAGAGCATATTGAACAGTGGTCTTATAACAAACTTGTGTTTTTCTCATATGATAGCGTTTGCTTATCCATTGCAGTTAACTTTGTACACTTGCCATTGTATGAGTTTTTGATGGTGGATTAGAACTCCATGCACTGTTCTGATGCTGATTCCAATTTTAGACCAGTGCTTATATACGCCTAGGAAAACAGTGAGAAAAGTAGGAAAAAAGTAGAAACATTGTTTTAAATCTGTTGAACAATGTAAAAAAGAAAATAGGCATGACCTTACGTTTTTTATTTGTTCCACTGCCTGAATACTACTTTGATACACTATATTGTAAGATATCGATTGAGATTTCATAAACAACTGTACTATAGTAATTTAATCAACGGAAATTGAAACACTTGTTGTGATACAAAGTCGTTAACAAATTTATTTCACAAAAAAGTTGCTTTATTTTTTATCTTTTTTTACAAAATTGAATTACACAATGGCTCAACCGCGCTCGTTTTTCTTACAGCACACATTACTGTGCACAACTAAAGTGTTTTTTAAAAGATTGTTCGCGTTGCAATGAAAACCATCAACGCAATAGTGGCCAATGCAAAACTTCAAACATTTTCCATTTTTCAACACACCATGGAGTTAAAGGACAAATTAGGTTAAAATTAATAAAGGTTAATAATCTATAAATGTTTTCAAAAATACAATGCGTTCTGTTAACTAATTGTTTTAAATTTGATTTAATAAAAAAATGTCATTTTTGTAAATTTTCTAGCAAAAACCGCATTTTGATAGTAAAAATAAGAAAGTCAGAGAAGTAGAAAAGGATTATTTTTATAAATAAGTGGATGACATTTCAAGTTGTGTGTTTTGGTCAGTAGATGGCTGCAATAATGTAAAATAATATTTTTTTAAAATTAAAGTTTTTAAATTTTAAAAACGGTTGCATTTAAATTACGGGCATTATCCTAGTTCAAAAATCTTAAATGACAAATGAAATGCACAAAAACTGCTTAACATTAAAAATAATTTTTTAAATTAAACTGATTTTAAGAAAATTAACACTTAACGGTCCAATTGGATTAGCACGCTTCAATGTGGTCAAGCCAATCAAAAAGTCATTTGTCATCAAAACCCAAAGCTCATTTGCCATCATCATTTGTGTGTTGCACGTTGGCCTTGGCCACTGTTGATTTGATGCCATTCGCTTGATCAGGTCGTTTCCTGACCGGACTGCTCGCCTAATGGTCGTTGTGCATCTTTTTGGTAGCTCACCCTCCTTACAATGACTAGCAGGGACAGGCATTACACTCATAAATTGTCCCAGAGACAGTGCACCAGAGTAAGCCATTCAACAGTTCAACAGCAGAACTCTCAGTTTGCTTTGTCTTCACACTGGCTACAATTTGTGACCGTCATTTTTGCACTCACTGGTCATTGATTGCAGCCAAGGACGGTTGACGCGTTGTCGACACTTAAAACAAAACTAGTTGACACTGCCACAGACATAACTCTTCATTGAAAATTCAAAGTTTTGAGGGTAGTTAGTACAAGATTATTTATGCTGCAATTTTTGTTTTTGTTAGAACATTGTTAATTTATTGCATTTAATTGCCAACTGTAGTACCAGTTACAACAACAAAAAAAGTGAATTTTTAAAATTAAGTTTATAATACCTACAATCAAATTATATAAGTTTGCTATTAAAACTTAAAACTTACTAAAAACGCTATCAAAACTAACAAAAACAAAATATCATTTGTTGTAATCAGAAAATCAGAAAATTTTGCAAACATTCTGCGCCATAATGCCATTTTGGTTTAACTCATTCACCAAACTAGAAGAGTTTCAATTAAGCATTAGTCGTATACTGTCGCTACAAAAATCTATCTGCCAAAGGCTAATTGGCTACACGCGTCACTTCTTTTGCTCTTTGTATCTTTTTCTTTTTGACTTTCATTGTGGCTACTAAAGCAGTGGGCCAAATCTAAGCTAAATTAAAGCGACTGACCAATTGATCTGAAACTTTTCAACTAGAACAAATTTGCAAAAATAAATGTGCTCCTTTTGCTAGCAACGTCAGTGAAACAAGTTTGGTGAATTCAGTTAACTACTCCATCCACCCCTGCCATTTGCATTCGTTTGGCACACTGCCACTAAAAATGAATTTTCCACAAGAAAAAATACTATTAACAAGCACAAAACGTTGATCATCTCTTCTAAACACAAAAATGAGTTTTTGATTGCCAATTAAAAAACAAACTTTACTAATACTTTTTTTTGTTTAATTTTTTGCAAAAATTGATTGAAACAGTCAAACATGCTGGTCTTACCAATAAACAAATTTGAAAACTTAATCAACAATTTAATTTTTTAAATACTAAACAAATTTGCATTAAACAAATCTATTCTATTTAACTAAAATATTATAAAAAAGTGAAATTTTAAATTTTTAGCGCGGAAACTGTTTCATAAATACTAGAATTTTAAGTAAAACAAAAATGAAAATAAACAATGTTTGACAAATTAAACTTTTTCTGAGTCAAAATATTACAATTTTTTTTTTATTTTTTTTGTTTTTGTTCATTATAACAATGTTTAAATTGTTTCAAAATTTGATTGCAAAAGTTGTTAATAAATCAACTGATAACGCTCATATGCATTTGTCTAATTAAATTTTAGATTTTTTCCAGTCAAGCACTATTTGGCTTAAGCAGTTTTGACAGTTTGATTTTTCCAAATAGAGAACAAAAAGTGTCAGTCAAATTAACGTCCAGTTGTTTAAAATATTAAAGCTGTTTGAATTTTTATAACACACAAATTATTTAAATTAAAAATAAAAAACAACACAACTTGTCAATGTGATTTAAAAAATGAAATAAAAAAATAATATTTTTGTTTTCTGAATATGATTTATTTTATCTGCTTTAATTAACTAAAACAAAAAAAACTTTGTTCATCCACAGGTCAACTTATTTTTTGCCCATTAATAGTACTGATATAAAACGAGTGAGCCATTGGAACCAGACGACCCTCTCTGTATCTCTGCCACCCTCTTTTTCGCAGCCTCTCTGTGCTTCATTTTC